AAATAAGCAGCTCAACCCAGAAAAGCACAGCTCAAATGGGAATAGCTAGGATAATATGCTGTATGCTTATCCGCATAGGTTAGCGGTCACAATGTATAATATTACCCATTAGTTTAATTCTATCTGTGGGCTATAGAATTAGTTGCTGTCACTCCTGTTACAGATATTGTGTCAATGCTGCTAACATTGGATGTTCTTGCTTGACAATATATGAAGATGCAGACATTTTCTATTTCAGGGCTTTTCACTTGTGGTACATTAACGAGTGGCAGGTGGTACACAGCCCTGCCTAGCCAAGTGTAGTGGGGGAGGGAAAGAGTCAGTGCAGGCAAGGACTTACTGTGAGAGAATTCTCTGGAGCTGCAGAGTGGCTGGGGCGAAACAAAGGCCCCAGGCTCACTTCTGGCTCACCCTCCCCCATGAGAAAGGAGAAGGAGGGGGGCGGAGACAGGAGAGGCTATAAAAGGAGGCAGTTTGGGGAGGAGAAGGAGAGAGAGAGAAAAGAAGCCGCCTTGGGAGGAGGTGGAGTCAGCTCTAACTGCACAGAAGGGGAAGGAGGAGGGGGGAGAGGAGATCAAGCAGGCCGGCCATGAGTCAATCTACAACTTCTGTGGCAGCCACCTGTGCTGGCAGCAACAAACAGGCAAGAAATGCAGCAGGGGAGGGGTAGCATCAGCTGGAGGTGAGACATGGAGGGAGGGAGATGGAGAGTGGAAGGATTCTTATGTGCTTTTGTGACTTTGAAGTTCTGGGATTTGTGCAATGAGGGCTTTGTGTTCTTAAGGAGCGTTTGGCCATTTCTATTTGGCTGATGGCTGATGTCTAGTGTTAGCTTCTATTGCTCTGCTATTGTTAGCTGTAAGTTTTGCTGCAAGGGATTTTGAAGTATTTTTCTCCTGAATGGATTTTGCCTGTAGCATTCCTTTACTTATGAATGGAGCCATTTGGGGAGGCTGCCTTAGCTGGCAGCCAATACTTACATTTTTTTTCTTCTTTAAGTGCCAGCTGTGCTCCTTAACTTTCCCTTCTAGCCAGTAGCTAATTCTTAAAGGGGAATGTGCCTTTTTAAGCTAGTTCACTCAGCAGCTTGTCTTTTCTGTCTCTGGAGGCTTTTCCTTGTTTGATGAATATATGGAAGAGGGAAAATATGGGGGGGGGGNGGGGGGGGGGTGTTTCAAATTCTTCCTTCAGAAGGAAATGGGCATGAGAAAGAGGGAGGGAGGGAAGTCCCGCCTTAGCACTTGGCCACCAGCAGCCCTGCCATTGACTTTGCTTGTCAAAAGGTTGCAAAAGGGGATCACATGACCCTGGAACACTGTGACCATCATAAAAAGAAATCAGTTGCCAAGCATCCAAATATAAATCACATGACCCTGGTCATGCTGCAATGATCATAAGTGTGAAAAATGGTCATAAGTCATTTCAGTGCAATAGCAACTTTGAACAGGTTTTTCTTTTGTGTGTTTTGCTTTCTGCATCATGCATACTGCTAAGCACCTGGCCTCTTTAAACATTTAAGGTTTTATAGTATACAGCTAATGGCACTAAAGATGTAATTGTATTTACATTCAAGTCATTTGGCTAGATTTCAATTCTGACTACAATTGCCCTCTGAATGTAAAAAGGACAAGCTAAGCCAGGGCTTTTCAACCTTTTCACCGACTGTACCATTTTTAGGATATGGCAATATTCGAGTACCACCTAGCAAGATGTCAAAAACTTGACCAAAAAGAAAAAAAACTGTTCAAAGTTGCTATTGCACTGAAATGACTTATGACCATTTTTCACACTTATGACCATTGCAGCATGACCAGGGTCTTGTGATTTATATTTGGATGCTTGGCAACTGATTCCTTTTTATGATGGTCACAGTGTTCCAGGGTCATGTGATCCCCTTTTGCAACCTTTTGACAAGCAAAGTCAATGGCAGGGCTGCTGGTGGCCAAGTACTAAGGCGAGACTTCCCTCCCTCTTTCTCATGCCCACCTCCTTCTGAAGGAAGAATTTGAACTCCCCCCCCCCATATTTTCCCTCTTCCATATATTCATCAAACAAGGAAAAGCCTCCAGAGACAGAAAAGACAAGCTGCTGAGTGAACTAGCTTAAAAAGGCACATTCCCCTTTAAGAATTAGCTACTGGCTAGAAGGGAAAGTTAAGGAGCACAGCCGGCACTTAAAGAAGAAAAAAAATGTAAGTATTGGCTGCCAGCTAAGGCAGCCTCCCCAAATGGCTCCATTCATAAGTAAAGGAATGCTACAGGCAAAATCCATTCAGGAGAAAAATACTTCAAAATCCCTTGCAGCAAAACTTACAGCTAACAATAGCAGAGCAATAGAAGCTAACATAAGACATCAGCCAAATAGAAATAGCCAAACACTCCTTAAGAACACAAAGCCCTCATTGCACAAATCCCAGAACTTCAAAGTCACAAAAGCACATAAGAATCCTTCCACTCTCCATCTCCCTCCCTCCATGTCTCACCTCCAGCTGATGCTACCCCTCCCCTGCTGCATTTCTTGCCTGTTTGTTGCTGCCAGCACAGGTGGCTGCCACAGAAGTTTGCAGATCGGCTCATGGCCGGCCTGCTTGATCTCCTCTCCCCCCCCCTCCTCCTTCCCCTTCCCCTTCAGTGCAGCTAGAGCTGACTCCACATCCTCCCAAGGTTGCTTCTTTTCTCTCTCTCTCCCTCTCCTGCCCAAACTGCCTCCTTTTATACCTCTCCTGTGTCTGCCCCCCCTCCTTCTCCTTTCTCATGGGGGAGGGTGAGCCAGAAGTGAGCCTGGGGCCTTTGCCTCATCCCAGCCACTCTGCAGCTCCAGAGGACTCTCTCACAGTAAGTCCTTGCCTGTGCTGGCTCTTTCCCTCCCCCACTACACTTGGCTAGGCAGGGCTGTGTATCACCTGCCACTCGTTAATGTACCACAAGTGGTACAGTAGCACCGGTTGAAAAGCCCTGAGCCAAGCCTTCTCTCCTTTGTTCCTAAGAGCTCATTAGAGCTCAGGAAATGTAGCTCATTTCTACTAAAACTTTGCATGCATAAGATCCCATATTCAATTATTGGAACCTCCAAGTAAGAAAAGCTTGCTAAAAATCCTAAGAAACTGGTATTGCTTAACATGAACAAGTTTTTGGCTAGATGCATAAATAATAATACTCAAACCTGATAACTTTAAGGCATGTGAACTTCAATTCTCAGAATTCCCAGGCCAGTCTGCTGGTTGGGAGATTTTGGGAATTGAAATCCATATGTCTTAAAGTTACCAAGTTTGAAAAACACTGACTTAACTAAATGGGTGAGTTTACTTACTGTGTTAAATTACAATTTTGTCAACCAACCAGAAGTGGCTCTGTCTGTATGTTTTGCTAAGATAAACTATGGTTTGTAAATCACAATGACCGAACCAAAACTAATTATATTGTGGCTTTGTCTTAGTACTTAGTTCTTAGTACTAACTCGTATTTGTCAAGTTGTTATGATCCAGGTCACATAGAAAGAGGCAGGCTTCGATAGAGTCCTTTATTGCTCTGTTAAGTCCACAACAAATGGACCTACAACGTTCAGCAAAGCTCCACCCCAAACTTCCCTGAAGGCAGCCACCCACTATCCCACAAACTAAAGCTGATAATCATCAGAGCTGAATCACAAAGGCACAGAGGAAGTCCAAAAACAAAGTGTAAGTCCATAAGGCTAGGTCCATAAGTCGTACATAAGATTCCAGGTCCATAGGACAAGGTTAAGAGTCCACAAATCAAAGCAGAGTTTTTCCAAGGCCAGGGAAGTGCATGCCAATGCAAACAATTGTTCCTGACAAAGACACCCTCCCTAGCGTCTGCTTAAATCAACCCAAGCCAGCTGTTCCTTTTGAGGAGTGGGTTGACCGTCTCACAAGCAACCCCGCAGACCTCCTTTGAGCTTGGCTCTGCTCCATTCTTCGTACCCTCAAGATTGAATGGGAGAAGCAGCTGTTCCTCATCAGAGGGGATCTAGTGCTTCTCAACACCACTGCCTGTTCTGCAGCTGATCCTCCCCCATTTGTGAGGGTAGGCAGCTCCCCATCCAGTTGACCACCAATGCCTGAGGGGCCTGGGGCAGCATCTTCCTCAGCCCCTGGCCTCTCCAAACATTCCAGAGGAGATGTGCCATCCCCATCGGACATTCCAACTCTTCCTCCTCCTCCAAATGGGGTCAAGACACAAGTGTGTATGAGGAAAGCATTACTTACTAAAATGCACAACTTCTTTTCAAGCATGATCTTGGATAGTGTGATGACTCTCAGGCACTTCAGGAGGGGATTTGGTCAATGGCTCTGGGCAGCTGGCTGAGAGGGATTTGGCTGAAGTGCACCTGAAGCAGGACAATCCTGAGGCTTCAAGTGGGGAAACCATGCAACTGCAGCCAGTTAGTGATGAGGAAGAGGAGCTGCCTTCTCACATGATCAGAGAACATGTAGGGCAGAGAAAAGACAGGAGCAGCAAAAGTCAGCCTGATTACTCATAAGGAGGTAGCCTCATCCCTCTTGATGGGCTGCACTGTTTAGCACAGCAAACGGAGACGATGGTCGGGACAACATGTTTATTTCTTAGCTGTATGTTTTCTGGTCTTTATGATTCCTGCCTTGCTTTGGATTGACACTGTGCCTTGATTTTGGATTGTGCTTTGTGAGCTCTGGACTTTTCTTGCCTTGTGAACCTCTTGTGTTGTGGATTTAGTTTACCTGGTGGATTTGTCTTATTTGGGAAACTTTCAAGTGCCTTGTGGACTCATTGGCCATTGCTCTGTGGACTAGCATCAGTCTGCTTTTGGCTGGACTTAATTGGGACAGTTCTGGAGTTTTGGTGAAGGGAATTGTTTGGGAACATTAATAAACCTACTAAAGCAGGACAGCACAGATGGTAGTCAAACATACTAATTCATAAAAGTTCACCGTGTTTCAAAACTCTGTAGACGCTGCACATTTTGCAGGAAGACCATTTTTTCCATCAAGGATTTTTTAAAAAAACATTATGACATTTTCTACAGTGATCCATAAATACAGTTTTTAAATAAGTACTTAACTGTAGGTTAAAAATATGAGGGAGGTGAATTATTTGCTGTATTATATCCTATTTTATCCTTGCAGTTAGTCCCATCATCTCCTTTCAAAACATGATCAAAATATAATAGCAGAGTTATTGTAAAATCAGTTTTCTATTAAGGTTTATCACATTCTCCACAAAATTATTATTTTCTATGAAGTCTCCAGCAATTATGTTAATGCAGTCCTTTTTTGATCCAGGTTGCTGTTTCTTTATCCACATATTTAGGAATGGAAGAGCCTTCTGAGTCATTTTTTTAACAGAACTTTTTATATTTGTCAAAATATATCCTAAATCTGCAGTAAGATTGATTCCTGCGACAAATAATCCATCTGGAAGGGAAAAACAGGAATAAGAATTGCCATTTGATTCTTGTAACAATTACTAACAATTTTCTAAAGAAAGGAATGTCTCACCCATTTATTTTAATAGGATATGGTAACTCACTTTATTTGCAAACTATATGCATTATGAGTATCCCTCAGATGACTTGCAACTAAGGGGCAGGAAAAATATTATCTTTCTTACATCTTATTTTGGATGAGTCTAAAATTCAGTCTAGAAATGTCTGCTTGTGTATCCCCAAATCAACCTAAATTAAAACAGATGTACTGTAACATCCTTGTTACAGTATTCAGTATATCAAATGTTGCTCTGCTCATATTAAATTTTTTTTATATGCAAAGTATTTTTTATATATATCCATCTGACTGCAAAAATGAGATCACACTTCTGAATAATGTGAAAAATTTGAAACTAATGAATCCCTGTCACTTTTCCTGCCACCTTGTTTCCAGCCAAAAGCATAGGCTGCAGGAAATCTAATCAAATTAGAGTAATATCATTAGGAACAGAGGAGCATCTAGTAATCTGATTCAGATCACTAGAGCTACAGCAAATCCTCATAACTGAAGATTGCTTGGCTTTTGTGGTTTCTGTTGCATCATCACAAAAGCTGATTGCTGCGTTTTGGTGGATATATGTGGGAATGCTCATGGAGGGAAACTTAGGAGTTGATTCAGAATATACACCATATATGCAGAAGGGACAAATACCTGGGCGACCACTTTGCTTCCGTTTTGCCAAAAACTCAATAAGCTTTCGTGCTGTATCCTTATTTCCCCACCAGTACGGAATTGCAGGCCACAATTCATTATGTTTTATCAATTGCTCTATTTTGTCATAAGACAAAATAACTTGGTAGCCACTGGACCACATATTCCATAAGGTTGGGACAATCTGAAAGGAAGAATAAGATAATATTTTGTATTCCATTTATTTATATTTTACCTTTATTATTTTTACAAATAACTCAAGGCAGCAAGCATATTCAACATACCTTCCTTCTCCTATTTTCCTCACAACAACAACCCTGTGAGGTGAGGTAGGCTGAAAGAGAGTGACTGGCCCAAAGTCACCCAACTGGTTTTTCTAGCTAAGGTAGGACTAGAACTCATAGACTCCCTCTTTTTAGCCTGATGCCTTAACCACTAGACCAAACTGGTTTTGTATTATTTATATCAAACAGACTTGGGATACATCTGCAATGAACTCTATTGGACAAGTTCTGCAGGGGTCACTCAGTATTACCCAAGAATTGTTCAAATTTTGCCAAGTATTACAGTATCACTTAAAGTAGTATATGATCATTCCACATTCCCCCAATACATTATCTGACCATACGAAAGTTAATTAGTAATCTTATAATCTTAAAATCTCAAAACTAAGTTTTCCAAGCAACTCACATTTCTAGGACACAGTCTGGAACTGAAGATCTTCTTTATACAGGCCACCAAATGATTATGATGATTCTCATCCAAGCCATCAAAATTTCTGAAAGCTAGAACTACTACTTCCCAAGGATGGTTTTTCAACCATCGTAAAATGTCCCACAGAACAACCTATAAAAATCAATGTAAGATTGATAAAATGCAGTGTGAGATTTGGCTTTGTGACACGAGGAAAGTGAAGCAACTATAATTGGCCAATTTCTCAATTCTATTGTAACATACTATCAGACCAGGAAATGTTCATTGTACAGGATATTCCATGTGAACTGGAAACTGGCTATTTGCATATTCTTTCCTCTTTGATGTACATAAACTTGTAATGGGTACTGATCATCTAGCAAACCATACAAAATCCAACTAAATGTTACCATAACTATGAAATATTGTCTACACTGTGATTCCTAGAAAGCCTAGCTTCAATTTTCATGCTTTATAAGTATTTGTAATCCAACAAATTGAAAATTACTATGTTAAAAAAAGGCTATCCTTCTTAAAAAGTACATTGTCCAAAGAGACAGGAATAACACTACTCTTTTCCTCCAGAATTGTTAGTGTGCTCTTTAATTCCAGATCCTAAACAAATTGTTGAAATTCTGCAGAATATTCCTGCACAAAACACTCCTTGGCCAATCATTTGGGAGTCACTTTCTTGACTTGATCCTCAAAATCAGTTGTCAAATGTGCTGCAGAATGATTAGCATGCATCCCAACTGCAGTTATTCATGCAGTTATCAAAACCTAGTCCAGCTGAAATCACAAGAGGGGGTGCTATTTCATGGGTCCCTAAACCATTAGGTTAATTCTCTACAGATCATTGTAAATATCATCTGGCCTCAACAAGATGTATAGTTTACATTGGACAAAGAAGGCACTAGTTCTGGGCAGACTGGTTTGGTAAGAAAAGAGGCATTTCCTGTTGGATGATTTCCACATTTGCTCCAGAAGCTGCATCAGAAGCATTGGCAGAATCAGTCTGCCCCCCCTGCACTGGGAGGGATTTACTTGGGATAGTTGATTTCAGCTAGTTGGCTCATTATTTAGGATGGTCCTTTTGGGTAGTCGTTTGGTTCTGACAATGCATCAAATCACTGGACATTTGTGGAATTAACAGAGAGCAGGTAACAAAAAAATTAATTATTGATCTCTAGCAGTAGCAGCAATGGGCTAGGATTGGCAATCAAGCTGTCAGATTCTTGACTCTTCATGACTCAACTTGCTTCCTAAGATAGCCTTGGCAGAAGGCAGTGTTTGGTCAAATAAGAATACTTAATGTAAAGAAGAATGAAACCAAAGTATATCAACTGCTGCTTACACATGCAGAGGTTTAGACCTTTTCATCCCATGAATTAATGGACTCTTAGCATAGCACCTGGCAGCCTTGAAGTTAAACATTATTCAGCATTTGCATAAATTGTTCAAAGCAACTCTGCTCTGAGAACCACTAGCTCTTAGTGTACTTTGCACATTATTTTTAATTTAATTTGATTGGCGTTGGAACCAATTAAGGGAAACAAAAATCTTTGTTCCCTGAAAATAGGCCTTCATAAGGGCAGATGCTTCAAACAATACAGTTGTGAAGGGGGCATTGTTAACTCTCCTTTGCAAATCTGTATTTCAATGTCAATTAAAAAACATTAAATTTTTAATTAAGTAGCATAGCTTAAAAATATTTGATTAATGTTGTTTTTAATCCATTTAGATAATACTTTGATGAATAAGCAGAGACAGAGACAGAGAGACAGAGACAGAGTATTCCAGCCTAAGAATGTTGAAATCTATTAAAAAATAAATTTGAAAATATTGTTCCAAATTGTTTGCACCTAAAAGGTACATAAAAACATGATCAAATGAATTTTGCTAAAGTTAGTCATGTTATTTAGAAGAGTTTATTTTTTTATTTAGGAATTTATGCTATAATTGCTGTTCAGTGCACTATGGAATCTTAATAATTTTCCAACAATATGTAACTGGATGTGACATGTGGCAAGAATGCTTGAGTCAATGTGATCATTTCTGAATCTTTACCAAGCACAAGTTTGGGAGTTGATTCAAGCAGTGGTTATCAGAATATTCATATCTGAAAAGCTGGTCACTTCCTGACTTAATACATTGGGTTTTATCCAAACAAACTTCCCTTAATGTATATCCTATTGAAATCAATGGGGCAAATTAGTTATGGATTGATTTGGATTCATTTTAATGGAAGCTACAGTAAGTGAAGTATTGATCCTATCCTATGAAATTTCTAAACCTCATCAATGAAAACCATGTTAAATACAATTGCATCTTCAAAATTGCTATATCTATGCATAATACTGTAAGCATAAACGTTCCAGTTCATAAGTAACAAGTATTTAGTTTTCATAGAGAAACCATTATCAGTTTTTAACGGAGATAAGCATAGCTAACTTTTTTGGTGTCAACTATTCCTGTCTCTCTCCAATCTCAATATCCGAGGCCACCATTGTTTTGCTGTGAGTCCCCATTAACTTCAATTTCATCAACATTATATATTTTATCATAATTCTTAGTCATTTAGTGGCTTGGTACTACTTTAAGCCTTCAGAAGATATAATGAGTTGAACAATACAGATAACTCTTCCTGTCATAGAAAAATGGTAACCCAATATACATATTTTGAAGCAAATAATCAAGCAAGACAACCTGACTTTGGAACTAGTGGGAGGCTGCTACTACTTGACATACATAAATGTTCTGGTATGTACATCAAGTAGTAGCAGTCTCTCATTGGTTCCAAAGTGAGGTAGTCTCGCTTGATTAAGGATTATTATAAATCTGACATGCCTTTATGTTAGCAAACTAATCTGGCATTTTCCTACTCCATTTAAGGTAATATTATAACAAAATGTGGCATCCAATTTTCCAAAATGTTTTCTTTCTTCACAAGATGGTTTCTATTTGTATTACTCAGTCTTGGGATACTTTAAAATTACTTTTGGTGGAGTGTTTTAATTTACTTTATTCAGTGGTGAGATTCAAATATGTGAAAAACCGGTTCTCTGTGTGGATGCCGCTTCCGGAAGTCCATTCTGGGCCTGGGCAACAAAAAATTAGCTACCGGTTCTGCCGAAGTGGTGCAAACTGGCTGAATCCCACCACTGACTTTATTGCTGCAAGATGGCGAGACATGGTATTCAGGACACAATCTATACACACTAAAAATCACTGTCAAAACTGCAGGAAATTCCTGCTCCCAACATTAGATTCACCATTATGCTTTAGTTGGTGCACAAAGCATTATGTTGGTTCACAATTTTTTTTAAAAAAATCTAAATATATCTACAAATAAATCTAAAAATGCCTAATGCAACAATATGGGATAAAAATGGCAAATGTTTTCATTTCTAGAGTTCTTCAAAAGATATGATGGTGTTGAACAACAAGTCAAAAATTCTAAAGTTCAGCATGTCTCAACAATGAGATCATGAAATTCAAAGCTAGTCTCAAAATGGATATTCTGGACTAAATGCAATTGTTCATGGTAAAGGTTATCAATATGAGAGATCAATATCTAGCTTTTAGGGACAAAGGAAATTGTTATTTTCTAATTCTGATAACATAAATGACATTAGTCTCCACTCTGCCAGAACAGGAAAAAGAAGCCAGAAGCATATTACTACCAAAAAGCTGGGTTTCCTCACTTCTGCACAGAAGGGACACTACACAACCCACATTTTTTAAATCGTGTATTTTACTTAAAACAATAATTTCAATAGAATTCAGTTAAGAAAATGTACCTCTACTTCCACTGTTGTATATAACATATGAACAAAGTATAATTTCATGGAAGGATCGTCAGATTTGTGAGCTATTCTAAAATCAAAATACCTAATTCCAGCATCCAATTGTTCCAACACAGTCAGATCCTGAAAAGTTAAAAAAAACACAAAGGTTTCCAAAATGTTTGCACATTTCATAAATTTTAAACAGTTTCAGGAAGACAATGGTTTTGGATTGCAGTCTATAAGTCTCTGGTAAAACCCATAATGTTTCTAATAAAAAATAAATGGAACATAGACCACTTTCATCCAAAGATTTTGCTCTTCCTTATGATACCTGTATCATTCTATGTGCTGCAGAAATTTAAAAAAAGTATAAGAAAATTTAATGTAAAAACAGACCTCCAAAAAATGTTTACCTGTGTTATTGACCATCTCAAAATAATAGGGTGCACTATGTAATGCATATGTTTATCCAGTAACTGCAACAATTTGGATCCATTTGCACTGACTTCTGACTCCTTATCCAGACAATATGTCATTGCATCATGACTACCTATATAGGATTAAAGACAAAGTCAACCTAATTCTAATCATTTGTCAGCCTTTTCAAATCTTACCACTGCACCAGAGTTCACCTCTAAAACTCTTCTTATTCTAATGTAAAACCAGAGAAAACTGATGGCAGAAACAGGCCTAGTGGTCCATCAAGTCTGCCCTTTGAGTTATTTTATAATTCCCAGCAAACCATTAAGGATTATTATAAGTAATAAATACAAATAATAAAACTCACCCGAGAGCAAATGGGTGGCATATGATTAGATATTCATCAAGAAAGGATGACTTCTTTTGTAATGTTAAAGTAAGGTAAAATACACTTCTCTTCATGAAAACAATCCTTCTTTAATCTCTGTATCAAATATGGTAAGTGCTACCTAAGAACCCCCTGGGTGAATCAGATGTGTTGTACCTCTAGCACCAGTCATCTTTTGGGAGTTGTATGGTGCAGGGATTTGTTTCAGTGTGATCTTCCTGGTTTCTTCTTTAATTCTTTAGTGTGTGTGTGTGTGTGTGTGTGTGTGTGTGTGTGTGTGTATAAAGTTCGAAATAGCTATTCCATTCTCCCTTAATTCTTTGTTAGCAATCCATATTTTAAAAATATAAATGATGTCGCAGTTGCGACTGCTGCCTGTGGATGGCTCTAGTTTGAGCTGATACAGGCAAAAGATTTCTTTCTCCCATATATGGGTCGACAGGGTGCATCAAAAAGCACTCAAGGTAATTCTCCTCCCCTGTCTCTTCCCTCCCTGACACAGCTGACAAAGCGAGAAAGAGCTGTGGCCTAGAGGTTAACACAGCTGCTTAACATGCAGGCAGCCCAGGTTCGAATCTCAGAAGGGTATGTTTGGCTGATGAGAGCTAAAAAGTTCGAAATAGCTATTCCATTCTCCCTTAATTCTTTGTTAGCAATCCAAGGTGCGCTTTCCGGATGCGCTTCAAGGTGTTAGTAACAACTTTTAAAGCGCTCCATGGCAATGGACCTAGGTATTTGCAAGACCGCCTCCTACCAAATATCTCCCTTCGACCAGTCTGCTCCCACAGAGAGGGCCTCCTTAGGGTGCCGTCGGCCAGTCAATGCCGGCTGGCGACCCCCAGGGGGAGAGCCTTCTCTGTGGCAGCTCCTGCCCTCTGGAATGACCTACCCCCCGACCTACGTACAACTACGGACCTGCGCCTCTTCCGCCGAGCCTTGAAAACCCATCTATTCCATGCGGCCGGCCTGGCGTAGTT